GGCCGTGCTCGTGGAACAGCAGCTCGGACACCAGCCGGAAGGCGGCCGGGCACAAGGCGCAGTGGAAAGAGCCTGGCTCCGGGGGCTCGGGAACCAGCGTGGTGTCTGTGACCTTCACCACCTGGATCTCGATGAGGTCACTCGGGGGCGTGGCGGGGCGGCCGTCATCGGGCACCAGGACCTGGCGAGGGGAGAAGACAGAGGAGCCTGTGGACGCCCCCAGACCTCTCCACGCCCACACGGCTCCTCCGCGCCGCTGGACCGCACTTTCCAAGACCCGCTGTCCCTTCTTGCCCAAAGCCTACCGGGCCCAGACCTTCCCTCCTCCACCCTAGCCAGAGGAGCCCACTCATTTCTCCCCTGCACAACCGAAAAACGCTAGGAGAATCCCTGTTCCCCTGCGCCCCCAAACCCATCTGTCCCGAGCGGCCTCTACAGCCCCCTGGAAATGCACCTCCCAACCCGCGCCCGCACGTGGTGTCCACCAAGAGCTGGGTCCTGCCTCTCTCTCTGACCCCACTGTAAATAGCAGCCGGCATGCAGCTGACTGCTGTCGTCTAAATTTAGCTCCCCACCCCCACTCTATCAGCTCATTTTTTATTTCCTTTCTAGAAAGTGTCACAGGGAATCTCGCTCATCAGCCCTCTCCCCTCGCAGGACTGCAAGCTACAGGAGAACACAAGCCCTCTCTGTCTTGGGCACGGCTGTTCCCACAGTCCGGCCAGGAGCTCTGTGAATGTCTGTCGAATGAATGGATGTCCCAGGTTACTCTCCAAGCCTGAGTTGGGGGCAATGTGGAGGAGGTTCCTCTCATCCAGAGCACCTCGCCTACGGTCCTCTCTTGGGCATTAGAGAGGCATCCCCTGCAGAAGCATCCCCTCCCACAACCTGGTGACCTGGTCACAACCCCTCCTTTCAGGGTCACCTTCTCAACCTTTCACCTGAATTCATTGGCCCCAGAATTTCCCTGAGGCCCCGCCTCCCCGAAGGTTCTGCCCAGTTATGCAAATCAAACACCTGGAACGCCTCTCCCATGAGCCAGCCCCGCCCAAGCCCCGCCTCCCTAGGCACCGCCCCTCCACCCTCATAGGCTCCTCCCTAAACCCCGCCCCAGCATAGTCCTGAGAAGCCCAGCCCCCAGGGCCGGAGCCCTAGTCCACTCCCGCCCATCCTCGTAGGCCCCGCCCAGACCCCGCCCACTGCCCTGCGACCTCCGTCGCCTCGAGTCCCCCGCCTGGGCCCCTTCCTCGCCCGCACCAGGTCCGGCAGCTCTGGGGATCGCGACTCCGGGGTCGGGGAGCTCGGACTCCGGAGCTCCCGGCGCGTAGCGGCCATCTTGTGCCCAAGCCCCGTCCCCGAGGCCAATGATTGCTCGGGGAGGGGGCGGGGCTTGAATGCGTAGGAGGCACCGCGCAGGCGCGCTGCCAGGCGGAGAGGGGCGTGGCGCGGTGGGCGTGGCCATCGGGGGGAAGGCGGGCCTGCCTCGGGTAATCGCGCCAGTCTGGGGGAGGCCGGGGTCTGCGCGCAGGTACCGCGGCAGCGCGCAGCCCTGGGCTCAGACACCCCGTCCTAGCCACGCCGAGCGGGCCTCGCTGGCATTGGAGCGCCCGTTAATTTGCACAGGAAGGGCTTTTGCGTGAGCTTTCTGAGGACAGTGATGCGACTCTTCTGCATGTCAGGTTTTCAGAAAGCCGGTGTCAGGAGAGACGCCGCCGCGATGCAGTGCGGATGGGCGGGGAGGACGCGGGCCCTGCGCAGGCGAGCCCGGCAGCACCACGGACAGGGCCCTCGCGGCCACGCCCCTGCGCTCCGGCCTGCGCGCTGCTGCGGGCGGGACCGAGAAGGGGGCCGGGTGCTGGGAACAGCCGGACGCCCGACGCCATGGCCCTCCTGCTGGACGGCGGGTCGCGTTGTCCTTCGAGGCTGAATGTGCCCACGGGGCTTGTGCGGCCAATGACAGCAACGGAAGCGACGTGCGTCCCCCTCGGCGCGCGTGAAGAGCTTCGCTGGAGACAGAGCACCCTCGCGTCGAGCATGGTTAGCCGCGCGTGGGTGCACACCTGTGAGCCCAGCACGCTGGGAGGCTGAGGCAGGACGATCCAAAGTTGGAGCCCAGCCTGACTCGAACTTAGCTGCTTAGCAAGACCTTGTTTCAAAATTTTAAACACTGAAAGAGCTGGGAATGCAGCTCAGCCTTGTGTTCAACCCTCGGTAACACAAGCAAAGTAAAATAAAATAAAATGGACATTGGTAGGGTCAAATCACTGAACTTTGAGATTATTCCTATAGCAAAATCTAGGTTGACAACATATTCACGGAGTCTTACTGCTCAGTCTGCCCTGGATATGCACTGTCCCCTCTGCGTTTCCGTGGCTTGAACCCAGGGACCCAGAAATGCGAAAGTGCTGAGCCGCTGAGCCACATCCTCAGCCTCAGCTTACACAGCCTTTAAAACAAACATTTTAATCCCAGCGCTCAGGAGGCTGCGGCAGTAGAACTGCCACAAGTTCAAGGCCAGCCTGGGCTATATGGTGAGTTGAAGCCCTCAACACACGTGCACGCGTGCGCGCACACACACATTTTAAAATACACACAACAGGTGTACTCTCAGTCCTTTGTGTGTCTGCATCCCTGCTCTCTCCTTTGACTGAGGTTATTTTATTTCCGTCTCCTCCTTCCCGTTCCTCTGCAGGTCTTACCATGAATCGTCTCACGTCAGCGTGAACTGCGCCCTGGCCCCAGTCTCACTGACACTGGCGGCTGTCGCTCCTTGACGATGCCCCGTGGTGGCCGTGGTCACCTTGGGTGCATTTGTACCTCTGTTCACGGGCTGGGCGGCTCCAAGCTTCATCACCACTGAGGCTCCACCTTCGTCTGGCCTGAGGCTGTCATCAGCATCTCAAACCACAACAAACGCTGGTGAGGCCGGGACGAGGCAAGCCTGCTGCACTGTGGGTGGGAGTGTAAACTGGTGCGACCAGTGTGGAAATCAGTGTGGGGATCCCGAAACAAACACAAAAAGCTACAACCAGACCCAGCTGTTCCTCTCTTGGATACTTTCCCAAAGGAGTTACAGACACCATGTGATGCTGACCCACGCGCAGCATGTTTGCGGCAGCGCAGCTCATGAGCAGAATCCCCGAAGTGGCCTGGGTGGCCATCAGCAGATGGGGGCATAAAGCAAACACGGCGTTTCACACGATGGAGCGCTACTCTGCCATCAAGAAGAAAATGGATGGATTTGAAGGTCACAGTGCTACGTGAAGTAAATCAGACATGGGAGGTTAAACACTGAATAGTAGCTGTAAGATGAGAAACCCAAAATATAAACCATTTAAAGAGCAAAATGAGGGGCTGGGGATTTAGCTCAGCGGCACAGCGCCTGCCTAGCAAGCGCAAGGTCGTGAGTTCGGTTCCCGGTACAGGAAAAAAAAAAAAGTAAAGAGCAAAGTGAGGGATGGTGGGAAACAGAGAAAAGGCTCTGTGCATGGGTAGGAGGTTTCGGGTAGAATAGGGCAAGAAGGAATAAAAATGATCAAGACGTGAGCCAGGCGTGGTGGCACGTGCCTGTAGTCCCAGCACTGGGAGACAGAGACAGGAGGATCACTGTGAGTTCAAGGCCAGCTTAGACTACGTAGTGAGACCCTGTCTCAAAAAAAAAAAATTAATAGGCAGGAATGGTGAAGCACGCCTGTAATCCCAGCACTTGAGAGGCTGAGGCAGGAAGATTGTTGGAAGTTCGAGACCAATCTCAGCTACAAAGTGAGCTCAAGGCCAGCCTGAACTGCATAGTGAGACCCTGTCTCAAAAAAAAAAAAAAAAAAAAAATCGGGGCTGGGGATGTAGCTCAGTGGCATAAGCGCCTGCCTGGCAAGCGCAGGTTGTGAGTTTGATCCCTAACCAAGACAAGATAGACCTGTGAACTTAAGGGGCTGAGGCAAGAAGGGGTGAGTTTGAAGGGAGCCTGAGCAAGATCCTGTCTCAAAAACAGCCATAAGGGGCTGGGGGTTTAGCTCAGCAGCACAGTGCCTGCCTGGCAAGTGCAAGGTCATGAGTTTGATTCCTGGTACCAGAAGAAAAACAACAACAACAAAAAAACAGCCATAAAATATGCTGTGATGATATTTACACATATCTATGAATATACTCGTAATTGTGTGTTTCAAATAGATGGGCTATATATGTGAATTATATTTCAATAGAAATTAAAGATAAAGAACTAGCTTGCCAAATTAAACTCCAGATAATTTCTTCAAATTATAAGAATAAAAAATTATAAGAATAAACTGAGCCAGGCGTGGTGGTGCATGACTGTCATCCCAGCACTCGGGAGGTTGAGGTGTGAGAATTGCTGTGAGTTCCAGACCAGCCTGGGTCACAAAGTGAGTTCCAGACCAGCCTGAAATGCATAGCGAGACCCTGTGTCAAAAAGACAAAAATGTTTTAAAAAGAAAGAAGGAAGAAAAACCTCAAATAAATTCACGGATCGCTCTCGTCACAGTGTAAGTGCCTTGACGCTGGAGATCATCTCATCCTGGTTCTTAGCTTTATCCCCAGCACCTACACTGGGTGTGGGACGTCCCGGTGCGTACTAACCCTTTATGCTGCTCGGGACCTCTCTGTGATACAGCACAGCTTGTGCGCTGGATGGGAAATGAATCAGTAAATAACTACGCAGCTAGGGAGCTACATCCCACGCCTGCCGTCTGCGCTCATCGCCGGCTTCCGTAGCTCGTCAGGCCCCCCCGGCAGCTGGAAGGGTGCAGCAGACCGAAACCAAGGAGGCCTGTCAGCAAGTCTTGGCTGGTGCAGGAGATGAACTTGAAGGACCTGATTTCTCAGCCACGTGGTGGGGGCCTTGCAAAATGATCAAGCCTTTCTTTCACTTCCTGTCTGAAAAATGTTCCAGCGTGTTGTTCCTTGAAGTAGATGTGGATGACTGTGAGGATGTCGCTGCAGAGTGTGATGTCAAATGCATGCCCGCCTTCCAGTTTTTTGAAAAGGGTGAGAAGGTGAGTGAGGTTTCTGGAGCTCATAAGGAAAAGCTTGAAGCCACCATTAATGAATCAACCTAATTGTGTTTTCTGAAGAACATAACCTGCTATTAGCTGTTTAATACTTACATTTCTTTTAGTTTTTTTTTTTGTTTTGTTTTGTTTTGTTTTTCTCCGGTACCGGGAACCGAACTCACGACCTTGCGCTTGCCAGGCAGGCGCTTTTGCCGCTGAGCTAAATCCCCAGCCCCTACATTTCTTTTATTTACAAAAAAATATGAAGTATGGAAACTATATATCCAACTGCCATCTGATTATAAAAGACATTAAGATATTAATTCTATCCTTCAAAAAAAAATAAGTAGCTAGGAACAATGGCTTCTGACACCCTAAGCCAACAGTGATCCTCAAAGAGGTCATCCTAAAACTTTGCTGCGTGGTTCTGCAGATGACAATAATATTAGCAATGATAACTACTTTTTTTTTGTCCTTTTGAGACAGGGTCTCACTATGCCGTTCAGGCTGGTCTTCAGCTCACTTTGTAGCCCAGGTTGGCCTCAGACTTGCAACAATCCTCCTGCCTCAGCCTCCCAAGTGCTGAGATTACAGGTATACAGCACCACAAACTTCCAATTTTTTGGTTTTTTTTTTTTTTTTTCTGGTACCAGGGATCGAACTCATGACCTTGCGCTTGCCAGGCAGGCGCTGTGCCGCTGAGCTATATCCCCAGCTCCCACCCAAGTAAATTAATTAATTGCTTTAAATTTGGAAGTTTGATTCCAAAAAGGTCCTGAGTTTGATTCCTGGTAATAAAAGAAAAAAAAATAATTTACTTTCTGACAATTTTTTTCTCCTTCATTCTCTTATCTATTCTTCGTATAGAAGTTTTGTGAAGACATTTTATATGGAAAATAGAAAGATAATCTTACCTTAATACAGTTGCTCAGAATTTTTCCTCTTGGGCTGGGCGTATGTGGTTCAGCGCAGACATGCGTGAGGCTCTGGGTTTGACTCCTGGCAACCCTGGTAGAGCTGGGCAGTTTAGCAGCGTTTCGTTTCGGGTCCACAACTTCAGTAGTTTCGGTATTGCTGTCAAGTTTGGGAAAATCTTAAGTTTCTCTCATGGGTGATTTTACCAGACCCCAGAGCTTTTGAGCAGTGCACGACCCTAAATACTCTGACTGTGGACGCTCCTTAGCCAGGGAAGGACTTGGACCATGCGGAGCCTGCAAAGTGAAAGCTTCATTACTCCAGGCAAATTCCCCTCAGTACCTGTGCTCTGTCTCGTCCCCTCTTCCTCCTCCTCCTTCCTCTTCTTTGCAGTACTGAGAATTGAACTCAGGCCCCTCACA